TATATATATACACACACATACACAAATAAATTGACATGTCTGAAAAATAAAGAGGGATCTTCACTATAGCTGCATGGAAATGACCTTCCTTATTTCCTAGTTCAAATACAGTCCTTGTTTCGACTGTACTGTTTATTTGTAATCTCCACCTCTGTGGCAATATTGAGCTTGATTTATATTTCTCAGCCTGGTCTTACTCCCTTTGCAATCTGTGGCAAAGCCCTTACTGATTTGGGTGTCTGCAAAATCTGTTTCCCTGGAGTATTGTGCTACAGACTTATTGGCAGAAATAAATCACTGCTGCACTTCAAAAGCAGGGGGAAGTGTGAGATTTGGCCAGTCAGTAAATGCTAAATACCAGTCTGTTGTAACTTACCAACTATTAATAGCTGCAGTGCCAGACTTTTTATTTTTTTATTTTTTTGGTGTCTCTACTAGTGTCTTTCTTTTGGCTGGTTAATTAATACATCTCTTCCCCCTGCCCAGCTTTACAGCACTTTACTTGGGGATATGATGGTTTCTCTTTCCTTTAGAACATTCTTACTGGATCAGACTGTTTCTGATGCTGGTCAAAAGTGGAATCTAAAGGAAAAACACAGGAGAAGCATGTTGGAAGCTTGTCCCAGCCTTTTAACTATTTTCTGCCCAGAGACATGCCTGTAGTGTGAAGAATGGTCTCTCTTGTTAATTTTTAAGGGAGTGTGAATGATCAGCTGCTTCCCTTTTGCAGGCTACTCAAGACTTTATAGTTCTCTATCCCTTTTTCCACCTTAGACATCTCTTTTCCCCCCCCCCCCCCCCCCTCCCTCCTCCAACTCTACCTTTAGTGGTCCTTGTTGCCCTCCTCTGAAGCTGCTCCCATTCTACTCGGTTGTTTTAGTGACTAGGGAATGGCGAGAGCGACCAGAGCTCTGTGCAGTGTTCAAGATGGGGGCAAACTGTGGACTCACAGTGGCACAACAGTGCGCTCTGTCAGTGCTGTCTTCCTTTCCCAATGTATGTTCATAAAATTATATTTGCTTTCTGGAACATGCTGAACATATCAGCATGCTCCAGCCTGTCAGCCCAAGATGTCATTTCTGCCTGGAAAAGTCATCTCAGGGCATACCATTTTTAGTGTGAAATTGGATTTTTTTTTTTTTAGCATATGCATCAATTTATATTTATCTACATGGAATTTCATCTGCCACTTCATTATAAGGTCTTAGTGTTATAAGGTCCTTCTGCAATTCTTCATGGTTGCTTACCTTCCTTGCTTTGAATATTATCATCAGCATACTTAGTCACTTGCTGCTCACATCACTGTATTCTAGTTTACTCATAAATAATATGCAGCTCTTAGCATCTGTCCTGTGACCTCCCTCCATGGCTGGAACCGACCGTTTATTCTTACTGTTTGTTTATTATTTTTCACCCAGTTACTCATCTGTGCAAGGGCTGTCCCTTTTCCAGTATAGCTTTTTAGTTCCCTTCCTTTGATGAGAGAATTTCATAGGTCTTGAAAATCCAAGTAGTATGTATTACCTTTTGTGAGACCGGAAGTTCCTTTAGAGAAGCTGTATTGACTTTTCACCCCAGCATATCATATTTATACAGATATATCAGTTATCCACTAATTCTAGTTTGTATTATAATATTGCCTAATTTGTCCTGTGTGAATGTCAGGTTTGGAGGCCTGCTGTTTCCCGGGATCTTCTTTGGAACCCCTGTCTTAAAGATTTGGCATCAGACTTGCTGCCTTGCAGTTCTCAAGTATCAAGACAATTTTAAGGAAAACTGTACTCTTAAAAACTCTTTGATGAATACCATCCAGTCCTGGCATTCTGTTGCTCTTCAGTTTGACTCTTTGTTCTGTAACCTCTTGTGTGAGACAGATTTTCCCATAACGACCCCAAAGGAAGGAGTCTGGCAAAGGAGTTGAATCTATCTCTAGTACTGTGAATACATATGTAAAGATTGTGGTGTATTTTTCTGAGGTGGCATTATCATTTCTCTTTTAGTAGCACTAAGAAATGAATCTTTTGCTAATGGTGGCTTTCTGTAGGGAAGTTCCCTCAAGGTACAGCTGGGATATCTGAAGCAGTAACACAGAGTGATGGGGAATAAACTATTTTGGTTGGTTGATAGGTGGCAGAAATTTGATAGAGTAGGTATGAGTGGCATTAGTGGTGGAATCCATCAAATAATCAGTGCTCCTTGTTAGGAATTACTTTGCTTTGTAGCTAATATCCCTTTTCTTTGAGTGAATGAGGACATATGATACAGCAGATGCTTAAGTACCTTTTGTGTTAATATTTTTGTAAGCAAGCCTACTCATGTCTGTATTAGAAAATAGTTCGACCACTTGTATGTACCAATGATTTAACCCTTTACAGTACTGGTAAAGCAATTGCTAGCATAGTTTAATGTAATAGATCTTTGAGTATGTGCTAAAAAGAATAGTAAGACTGTATGTGCATTTATCACTAAAGCTTTCTAATGTGTTAACTCTTTTTTCTCTCTGCTTTGTAAGGTCCTCTGAAGATTTTATTTTTGTAAGGCAAATGAGAAATTATGTGGATCCCAACTTCACAGTATAGTCTTGGCCAGACATAGGAGCAAGCCAGCTTGTCCAAAGGCTGCAGAGGCCTCTAGTTGGTGTTCAAAAGGAGTTTTTCTTGTTGCTACAGGTTCTGTTTTTAAGTGCTCTATTTTCTTTGGGATTTTTTTGTTTTTTAATAGATAAAATAGTGAACATAAGTTTTCAGAAATGTAAGTATTCTGGATTATTCTAAGACAGATCTCTCTATTAAACCAGTCTTTTAACTTGGCTGGTGCTTTTTAATCCTGTTTACACTGACTGCCCACTTTGTGCTGTGATAGTGGTTGAACAATAAATCTTGATTTTTCTGTAGTTTTGCTAAATGGTAGTTGTCTGTTGTACTCAAGTTGGAGTTCAAGGAGAACATGCACATGCACAACACAAGCAAAAAGTTCATTCAGTGACTAGCAAGGCTGTATTAAGATGTGACCACTCACCTAAAATCTTGAAAGCTTGGAAATAAGAAATAGGGGGAAGTTTAGTATGGTCACATTGCCCGCAGTTCTTTCAGCAATGTTTTTCACAATGCGTTTTTTCCAGCAGTACCAAAAGCAGCATGTATCATAGCCTCATCCAGTTTGCACTCTAATATTAAGCTTTTCAATATGCTTTTATATCATGAGGTCATATGCTTGACTTCTACATTTTCCATTCATCTGGAAGGCTAATGTGAATTAAAGTTGCTGCTAATTTTCATAATCCTTGTTAATAATAAGGCTGGCAAAATATATGGCAATGTAAAGCAGTCAGTTGACAAAAATTTAACTGCCTGCTACTTTGTGCTTGGTTAAGTGTGTCTTTCTGTGTGATGTGAGTCGTGGTGGGAAAAGGTCTTCTGTCTTCCTCTTGTAAATATAAATTATTTGCAACTATTTTCAGAAAGAGAAAATTAGTTGGTATGCATGTTCTTCTAGCATATAACTGATATGATTGTAACTGTTGTACTCTCTACAGTGCTCCTCAAGCAATGAATACTTCAGATTCCTTCCCAAAGGAAAGAAAAGCATTCAGGTCTTTCAGAAAAGGGTAATTTGAGGTTTCTCATTTCACTATAGCAAATAATTTTTTTCAACAAAGAACTAAAAATAATTCGCGCAGTAAAAGTAGATCTGTATTCATATTCTATATTTTATCTTTTGCAAAATAGAGCTGTTAAAATTGAACTTTGACTTGAGTAAAATCTTAATTACAGGGCAGCGGTCTACTCTGACTTGCTGCATTCCTTCTTTCAAAACAGACTGTACGGAAACTGATTTACTGAAACGAACTCTTCAATTGATGTCTTTATGTTTAGTAGCACTTATGAGGAAGTTGAAGCAGCAGGCCAGTATTTGGCAGGAGAAATAGTTTGCCCAACCAGTTTGTGTTTTTGCTGTTATCTTCTTATTCTAATGAACCACTTCTCTTTCCACATGGCACTTTGGAGAGAGCATCTATGATTGCACATTCTGTGCATGCAGTCTGCACTGCACTCAGCTGTATGTATATTGGATGCAGTCTCATTATTGAAAATGCTATTGATGGTCTGGTAAGGCACTGTAATTCTCTGTCCTTGAGTGTAGGTATTGCCAACATGATTCTGATAAATTGCTGTGGTGTACAGATAATTTAAAATAGCTTAGCAAGAGGGCCTTCTTGCTTAGCTAACTGCTTCCAGTTACCACCTTCCTGAGTTTACTGCATTCTGCCTGAGGAGACTTGCAGTCATGTAAGGTAATAGGGGTCTGGAAAGCTTTCTTGTCCTCTATGTCAGCCAGAGGAAAATCTAGACCAGCTTTAGCAGAACTATTCTAAGTGTTGAGCATCTTGTTAAGCATTTGTGATAAGAAGGATTTAGGACATGTAGTCCTAAAATCTCCTTTCTGCATTCAGAAAATTCTTTCTTTTCTCTAAAGATTAATCACTAAGCTTCTGTTTAAGAAACTGTTATGTGAATTTGAATGCTATAGTTGTAGGGAGAGGTGATGTATCTTACTAGACTAGCTGACAGAGCAGGGAAAGGAAAGTCTTTTTTGAATTTAGATTACAGTGAAACAACTGCCATTCTCATATGTTGCCTTTGCAAAATAGGTGATTGAGGATGTTGTGGCAGACTGTGTCATGGTATGGAGTATCTGTTTTATTGATATCATTTGTATTTGTTTTCATGCTTGGATATGAAACAAAGACTATCATAGTTTATTTTGACTATCATAATATGGTGGTAGGTGAATTAGGTGTTCATACCAATTTGATTGTCTCCAGCTCAGTTGACGCTAAAGAACCTTTTGACTTACCAGAGCAGACAGAGTTGCTCTCTTTTGGCTTCTTTCTTTTTTCATGAAATGGCCACGAGAATGATATTTGGGTCAGCTGCCTCAAGTGTGTGATTTTCTTCTGACACTCATCCCTCTGAGCACATAGGAGGAGCCCAGTGGGGAAATACTGCAGTGCTGTTGGCTGCTGTGGAATCAGGAGTAGTTAAAGGGATATTGCAGTTATTCAACTCTGTTAATCATGTCAAGATAGGGAGATGTCTCTGATACCTGGCTGAAACGGTATGTGAGTGAAGATGGCCTTACTCAGACTTAACTGTAAGAGAGATGGAGTGACCCTGGTAAGTGCAGTAGGACCTCTAGCACGAACAAAGGCTGTTGATCTCTCCAACAGCATGTGCCCATCAGTATTTAGAGGCTGTACTGCGTACCCCTTACTTGTGGGTTCCTTGATTTGGACTGGAGACCTTCCTTCCTGGCCTGGCTGGGAGAATATGATTTTTTCCTTCTGATCTTACCACAGTGTTCTGGGTGTCAGTGCAAAAGTCACTGTCCTTAGCTCTGTCAAGCACCATACAGAAATTTTAGGTAGGGTATTATACTCTGATTAGCTTCCTGAGTGCACATGTTGTTCTGGTTTGCTTGAACTTCGTTCTTTCCTCCAATCCTGAGTGATGGTGTTGGGCCTGCCTATACACGTGCTGTTGCAGAGCTTGAAGCGGGATGCTGTCCTGCGGGTTCTTGCCCTCCGCTCTTTGCTAGCCTGCAGACATGTCCTGGATCCACAGGATTAGTGGGCAGGTGTGTACGGTAGCGCCCCTTCCCCCGCAACCCTGCTATCTGTCATTTCTCTGTTGTTTTGGAGTTCTGTTGTTGGTCACTTAGTACCTGGCTTTTGTAGTTGTCTCCATTGCATTGTTTTTCCATCTTTCACCCTTGCATTGCCCATATTTGTTTATGTTAAAATAATTCCTGAGGATACAGATGCAATAATCTACAGTACAGTGTTCTTAAAATATCAATAACTTATTGTTAACAAATCACACCGATGCTGGTAAAAGTGCACAGAGCATCTTGTGGGTGACTGTGCAGCAGCATCCCTCTTGTCTTTGTTCTGCATTGATGCTTTTTTGGGCAGTCATCCTGCCCTACAAAAGGGAAAGATCTTAGGTCACAGTAGAACTTTCCTGTGTATTTCAGTTCCCTGTAATACATCCCCTCTCTATTACATTGATTCTTATGGGAAGAATTGTATTGCTCTCTGCTCTTGTCCCAGACTCCTTCCAGTGGTATCCAGTGAAAGGACAAGAGGCAGTGGTCACAGATTGAAATATAAGAAAAAATTTTTGACTGTGAGGGTGGTCACACATTGGAACAGGTTGCCCAGAGAGGCTGTGGAGTCTCCATCCTTGGAGATATTCAAAAACTCAGCTGGATATGGTCCTGAGCAACCTGCTTCCGTTGACTCTGCTTTGAGCAGGAAGGCTGGACTAGATGATCTCCAGACGTCCCATCCAACCTCAGTGATTCTGTGAATGGCTACTCATTGAACTTTTCAGAAATGCATTTTTGATGGATAGTGAGGTATGCCTGTATTTGCCATCATTGCTCAGGAGTCTGCCCTGTACCTTTGTCAGAATAGTAGGTTGAAAATGTGAGCTGGAGATAGTAGTTTAGTCTACCAATTGGCAGAGTATTGTAAATTCTTTTAGGCTAATGCCTTATTGGTACAAGGGAACCTAGGGGCTAAGCATGTTAAAAATAGACATTTGAAGTAAATTGGTGGTGCTGCTGCTTACAAAGAAACTAACATATCATTGGACTTGTCAGGCATTTGGTGCACTTGATCTCTTGAGTATTTTGGCAAGCAGTAATACACTAAGTTTGAACCAGATTTTATTAGTCCTGAGCTAAAGAGCAGTTACTATCTTATTAAATGGATATCTAATTGGCAGATGAGTGTTGTTCAACTTATTTATCAGTGACTTGGATGAAGGGACAGAGTGCATCCTCAGCAAGTTTGCTGATGATAGGAAACTGGGGGGAGTGGCTGACACACCAGAAGACTGTGCTGCCATTCAGAGGGGCCTGGGCAGGCTGGAGAGGTGGGCGGAGAGGAACCTCCTGAAGTTCAACAGAGGCAAGTGCAGGGTCCTGCCCCAGGGAGGAATAACCCTATGCACCAGTTCAGACTGGGGCTGACCTGCTGGAAAGCAGCTCTACCGAGAAGGACCTGGGAGTGCTGGTGGACAACAAGTTAAGCATGAGCCAGCAATGTGCCCTTGTGGCCAGGAGGGCCAATGGTATCCGGGGGTGCATGAGGAAGAGCGTTGCCAGCAGGTGGAGGGAGGTGATCCTGCCCCTCTCCTCAGCCCTGGGGAGGCCTCACCTGGAGTCCTGTGTCCACTTCTGGGCTCCCCAGTACAAGAGAGACATGGCACTACTGGAGAGAGTCCAGCGGAAGGCTACAAAGATGATGAGGGGACTGGAGCCTCTCTCCTCTGAAGAAAGGCTGAGAGAGCTGGGCCTGTTGAGCCTGCAGAAGAGAAGACTTGAGGGAGGGAGGGGTAGAATCTGATCAATGTCTACGAGTATCTGAAGGGAGGGTGTCGAGAGGATGGGGCCAGACTCTTCTCCGTGGTGCCCAGCAACAGGACAAGAGGCAGCAAGCACAAACTGAAACCCAGGAAGTTCCATCTGAACCTGAGGAAAAATTTCTTGACTGTGAGGGTGACAGAGCACTGGAGCAGGTTGCCCAGAGAGGTAGTGGAGTCTCCTTCGCTGGAGATATTCAAAACCCGCCTGGATGCGATCCTGGGCAACGTGCTCTAGAGGGCCCTGCTTGAGCAGGGAGGTTGGACTAGATGATCTCCAGACATCCCTTCCAACATCAACTGTTTTGTGATTCTGTGAAGGGTCTGAATAGCAGTCCCTTGCCATGTTGTTCTCAGACAGCCGGCACTGGCAGTCTGAGAGTTCAGGTTTTGCTTAAACACTTGGTCTTGGTTTTACAACAGCAGTTTTGGATGCTTTCTCTACTACAGTTTGAGCTTCAGTTTCAACCTTTATGTAGAGTTGCCCTTAACTCCTGTTATTCCTTGTTTTCAGGATCCAACTAAATGATACAGGGAAACACTGCTGTTGTATGCTACTGGTTTCTCCACAGCAGAGAGCACACACAGCAGTACTGAGGCCCAATGCAGGACCAAGCCCAAGCCAGTAAGTTTTGCTGGACTTCTGCCAGTCCGTATAAGGCCAGTTCATATAGGAGCTAGTCAAAACCATCTGGGCTTAGTAGGGTTCAGTTGCACTGTGGTGAAATCCTTTGAAGTGCTGTGAGACTCTAGAAAAGAGATTTCCTTCAGACAAGAATGTTACTGAGGTCTTAGGTTAAATCAACTCTGCATTGTACCAGTTCATTTCTTGTTTTATCTCTTAAAACCACATGCCATATTGAAGGGAGAGGGGAGTTACTCATTCAGCGGGTTTCAAGAGCTCCTGTTACCATGCTGGTAGAGCCAAATTTTGGGCTCTGTGCCATGTCTGACTATGGCTTACTGCCCTGAGGGTCAAGTGCTTCATTGCAAAGACTGTCAAATAATGTACATCTCATCATGTAATCTGCTGACCAATTTATTTTCCCCATTATTACGTTTCCCTTCACCAGAGTACAAACGTCATTTGAGGCTTGCTTTTGCAGTTTGTTGATACCCAAAATCTGCAGGGCAGATCTGATGAGCAGCTTGATGAGACTTGCTAAGCATCTGGCAGCTCTTGTCATGAGTTGCTACAGAAATGCCAGATTTGGGAGCTCACTATTCCAGGCTTCGTTTGCAGCTGATACACCTCATTCCCATCAATCTGAAAGGATAATGAATGCTGAGCATGTGTGAAGGGATAAAGGCTGACATGGACCCAAGAAAAGGTCTCTGAAAACTTCTTGAGATAATATAGGCTCTACAGCCCTGCCTCCATTTTTGGTGAAGCCTGCTATCATAGCAGGCTTCCAGTCTCAAGTGAAGTTCAGCTAGTCGTCTTTTATGCCCTCATGCTGGAGGACAGGGAGCATGGGCAGCCCTGATGGACACTGCTCTTCAGAAGTCTCTGATCTCTTATGCTCTGAGGTGTGCACCCTGGAAATGATGCTTTCCGAAGGATCGTGGTTGCTGTAGGTGAAGTAAATGCTAGTTTTGGACAGCATGAAACATGTAACAATTTCATTTGAATTGTGTCGCTGCAGGGGGACATTGCTAAAATTGTCACTTTGCTTTCCATGTTAGCATTACCTAGAGGGCACTCTTAAGGCTATTAGAGGTTCGTTTCTTATCTGCAAATTCCAGTTTATCTTTTCGCTGAATGCTTGAGTGAAGATATGTATGTTGATCTTCCAAAAGATACTTTTTTTTTTTTTGACAGCACAAGAATCTTTTTATATCTCTACCTCTTACCCATATTTTAGTATTCTATTTATATTCAATACAAGATCTGCGGTTTCATAATTCAACAAGGGGCTTTTTAGAGGGAATTAATCTAGGGGATCCACAGAACCTTGTTAAAATGCCCAGGATTTCAAAGCCCTGTTGAGGAATCACTTCCAAACAGACAGTGACGCTGTGGCTTTTTCTAGATTCTTCTTGGCTTTCTGCTTGCCACATGAGATTTAAAAGATAACTGGAAGTATATTACTTGTACTATTACTATTACTTGACATATATTACTATTACTTGCTCATTTCCTTCGTAAATAGTAAAGTCCTGCTCATTTTTCAAGTTAGAGGAGGAACCCCCATGCTTCCTCACCAATAACTGTAAATTATGCAAACATTTACATTTAAATGTAAATGAGATTTGAATGAATAATGCTAGTAATTCATTTATCCTAATTCAAATCCTATTTTAATTAGCCTGTGGGCCCAATTTCACTTTCACGCAGCATGAAACCTCTTTTGAATATCAACAAAATTGCAATGCATTTATTCTTGATTTTTTTTCTGCTCAGCATACATCTTGTTAAACTGCTTAAAAACAAAGCAAAATGTGTATATCATTAATGAATTAATCAAATTTACTTAGGATGACATGGTAGGATATGTTTTTAAGAAAAAACAAATCCTTCTTTAAATATCTTCCCCTTAATGATTACCTTTTGACTACAAAATCTCTTTCTCCCTAAGTATACTGTTTAAGTCTAACCTTTTCCAAGGAAAACTAGGTGCTAGTGACTTATTGAAGTTCAGTTTGATATGACAGCTTCAGTTTCCTGTTCTCCTCTGAGTTGTCTCTTAGTGCTGGAAGAAGCACTCCTGTGTACACCTGTGGTGTATACAAAACATTATTCGAGGTAAAACTCACTTGTGGTCCGAAGTCTGTGCTCATATGTGGACTTAGGCCATGCAAGCGTGTAAGAGGACGGTGAGCTGGGTTGGGGAAGTGGATTTGCCTGTCTGCTTTTGCAGCACTGTTATTCAGCAAGGGTTGAGAAGTCATGTGCAGAGTCCTTCCAACAAAAGTGCTAATACTGTACGTTACAAAGGCAGTTGGGATTAGATAGCCTGGAAAGAGACTGTCCTTAAAACAACTGCATGCTTCACCAAAGCATAGGTACCCTCCATCTCAGGGATGTGGAGGTATTTCAGGGAGCACGCAAGACTAACTCCCTGGTTCAAGCCACCTGTGTTCTTCCAGTCCCATTGTCATCCCTGCCACATCTTGATCATCTCATCCGAAGAGAAGATTTTAAGGTAGCTAGCATGAATTGTTCCTTAGAGGTACTTTTCTTTCTGCTGTAATTGGAGGGAGGCTGTTACAATTGGGTTAGGAAGCTGAAGCTGGATGAAATTAATCCAGTGTTTAAATTCATATTCAAAATCAAACATGGGATGGATGGGGAAGCTCCACACACGAGGGTCTGGTCACTGTATGTGTCTATATTTGAACAATATAGATGTGTTAAAATAGAAGGATTCCCTGCAGGTGAATCTGTTTAGCTGAAACTGGCTTTTTTTTTTTTTTTTCCATGTACCTACTGCAAGTTTTTCTCTATTCTTTGTGGCTGTCAGTATCTGCTGAGAGGTGGTTTGCTAAACTTTAATTCACAAGAGCCAGCTTGCTGTCAGAGATGAGTGTTATGCTATTTGCATTATATATCCTGTCTAGTCTAAGGAGCCTCCTCTGCTGTAAGTGATATCATGAACTTATGACAAATACAAGGAATGAAAGTCTTTCTCAAATGCACTTTCTGGCATGACTTAAATTAGATGAAATTGCTGACATTTTGCTTTTTTCAGATATATGTCAGCGTCCATAGACTTTTATTTCAAACAATGGAAAGTTATTGAGTTAAATGTTCCCAGAACAATGTATCTGGGGAAGTATTAAGTGTACATTAGGTGAAGGTGAAGGTTACTGCAGTTTATCTGAATCCTGCAGTACACATGTTGTAAAGGCAGAAACATGCCTACTCTAACCTTGGACAGTCTCATGAGATCACTGAAGGATCTCACCATTTTAAAAACCCTAATTCTGCTTGCGACTTTGTACTCAAATATTACTTTTAATTTGGATGGACTGAAAATTTCCATTGGAACAAAGGTTTAATCACAGGTTATTTCACTGAACCGAAAATGTTTCCTTAAAAACAAAGGTGCCAAAAGTTATTTGGTAGATTTTCCCATATTTGTGTCAGTAGTTCTGTTTCACACAAAAAGTAAATTTAGAATAAATGATGTTTCTTGTGAGGGAAAAACAGTGCTTTTCAGGAAGTTCACATCTTACCAGTGAGAACTCTCTAATCAACAGTAAGTTTTGAGTATTAAATGTGCAGCTGGTAAGAGTACAGTCTTCCACATCGAAAGTCAGTGAATAATCTAAATGTAAAAGTGTGCATTGTCGATACCTATGTGTAAGTTTGTCACATTTGTCATTTATATCATCAGTGGAATTCAAGACTTGATTCCTCTTCTTTCTCCCAAAGCAAGTTTTAAAATGGGCCAGATGTATTGTGCCCTCAAGTGGTTGTTTCCTGCTCAGCGTGAGTAGCTTAGCTACATACCTACAGTGCAGACAGCTAAGTGAGGTGAAGTGTACCCTCCCTCCTTCCCAGGATGTTCATGTTTACAACAACACAAAACGTGATTTTAAACGAACAGTTACATGGTCCACAGGTAGAAAAAGCACCGTAGAAGGGCTGAGAGTTGCCTGAAAAGAATTTGCTAAATGTCAAGAGAGTAGTTTGTCTAAAACCAAAGACTCGAATTTTCTCTCTCATATTGCAAACTGGTCTCTGATTTAAAACTTCTCTTTTAGTAGCTGCTAATGAATAAACATTGACATTACCTGAAAATTTAAAGGCCAGTTCCTGCTCTTATTGCAGATATACACTGGCAAAAGCCTATTTAATTCATTTTGAGTTTACTTCAGTGTTTTACTTTTAGAAAATAATTGGGCCTTAACATTTTCAATGAGTGAAAATTAATCCTTTGTTAAACTCGTTTTTTTTCTGATTGGTCAACTAAACCATATCAGTAGTGACATGTATGTTACATTATACATTCTTGTTCAGCCACTAGTTTTTCAAGGCATCTTGGTTTGAATCTAGGTGTTGTGACAGCTCCATAATCCCTAGTTCTGGATGAGGATTTCACTTGAGTTTTCTTTCAGCAAATCAAAGATGTTTTTAAAGCTCATAGGATATCCCTAAACTTGTCCTACTGCCAGTTTTGAATCCTAATCCAAGGTAGTCATTTGAAAACGCCCAAGATGTGGGTGTCTGAAATGCTATCTCATCTGGCTCTAAAGCTGAACTCAAGGTTGCAAAACTGTAGTTATGTACCTCTCTGAGCCTGAAACCACCTACTGCAGTAAGGCACTACACTGGAACTGAAATCTTTTGCTCTTTTTTTCCATTAAAAGAACAACTCAATCATAATCCTTGGGCTGGTTGTATGCTCCACTGACAGACACCGGATTAAGTGACTTGCCAGTAATCCTTCCTTTTCTATCCATGTTTCCCAGCTAAACAAATTAAAAGTGAGAGATTTAGAGAGTTCAGGCTTCTCCTCCATTCTTCAAATGGTTTTGAGAATAATATATCATATGAATATATTCAATATTCATATTGATGCTTAAATGACTTTTGAAGGATGCGAACACAGGCATTTTATGCAGTCTTACTAGCCAGGAGGTAAGATCATCCTCCTTGCTCCTGTTTGTTATATAGCCAAGGATTGCAGTAACCATTTTTGCTGCATCGCCAGCTCTTGTTGAAATGCTCATCCACGAGGATCCTAATGCCCTTTCCTGTTAACTGATGTATAGAGTAACTGTTCTCTTATTTAAAAAATGATCATTGTTTTCTTTTGATGTATAACTTTGCATTAAGCTATGTTAAAGCATTATTTTGTTTCAGTGGACTCAAACTCTAATGCAATCCATGTTTTCCTTATCACTGATATTCTCATCTTTATTTGTCAGTCTGCAAACTTCTATGCCTTTGCAGATTTTGTCAGCAGCCATTTTCTCTTTAGGTCTGGATCACAGAGGAAAATATAGACTAGTTGCCAAGCCTATCTCTAATCTTTGTAGAGCTCACTGCAGTCGTGAACAATTCATCTTGATCTAACATGGGAATCATTTTTCAAGATTTTTCTGTTGCCTTTAGTCTACTTAATGTATGCTTTGCTAATACTATATCATGCTATTTTTTCTGACACTGTTAAGGAGTACTAAATCAAATGTCTTGCACAGCCCAGACATATTATATCTGTGCTGTTGCCTTTATCAATGAAGTATTTAATTTCATTAAAAAGGAATTACGTTCATATCCTTAAATTCTGTATTGATTGCATCCCCTCAAATTTCATTATTTTGCCTGTGAATAGCTCTATAGTTATGAGAAAAGGGTGAATAGCTGTAAATGCTAGTTTTCTTCCAGTCTTCTGGAATTTCCTCAGTTTAAGAGTAAATTACTTAAGACCACAGGGCCAGAGATGTCTTTTGTCCAGCTCTCGTTTTAGGACCTTTGAACAAATGCTATCTGGGCCTTCTGATTTTAAAATCTCTATTATTAATAGATGTTTAACATCATTAGAAGGACTGACAGATATTTTATTCTCATCTGCTATAGGAACATCAAACAGTTCTTCCTGTTCCCAATATTGCACCAGTTTTACTATTCAGAGCTCATGATTGGCCTGTGTTGTTGCTAGAGTTTTTTGTTCATTATACTACTCCATACAATTACTAGCCATGAGTTCTTACTGATAACTTTTTTCACATTTATGACAGCAAATTTATATTGATTGGTATCCCACATCTGTCTTCTAAAATTTTAGACAAATAACTCCTTAGCTAGGTTTTCCTTCCACTTTCTCAATAACACTACAAGAATAAGTATGTACTAAGGCCTTTTCTGCCGTCAGAATGGACAATTAGCCTCCCTAAGGGACTGAGCCAAAATCCATAGAAAGAATAGTTTGAGCATAAAGTTAGAAGCTAGATGTTTGTTAGGTCGTAGCCTGTGTGGCCTAGATCTGCAGGATAGCACTGCACAAGTCCCTATCTGTATCAGGTTTTACTGTCTTTAAAACAAAGATGATAGCAGCTGCCTGCTTCTCGGGCTTTGACTGGGTGATTTGTTTCCATCTTAAGTCAGCTGGCCTTGCCCTCTGGAGATAATTACTCTCTCTATTGGCTATAGTAGAGGCCAAGATTGCTAGCTCAGAATTTAACAATGCTCGGACGCCTCCATCTAGTTAAGGCAAATCTTACTGCTAGTGGTGGCATAAAACCAACAGTGCCCATAAGATTTCACGGGAACTGAGCTTTCAGATCCACCATACTTTGAAGATTTCAGCCTAAAGTTTAAATGCTTTTGTTAACATTTGAAATACAGAGCAGCCACATCTCTGTTTTCTGCTTAGAAGTAACTTTGGGAACAGGTTTGTTTGTGAAATCACATTTAACTTTTTTTTTTTTTTTTTAATAGCGGATTTCTCAAAAGCATACAGAAGAGACTTAGAATCCTCAAGCAAATTCTGGCTACTGGAGGTTCCCAATAACAGGTGATACTACAAAAATGGTAGTGTGAAGGTTTTAAAATTATTCTAGAATTTTTTAAGTGTCTTGATTGAATGTTGGCAATATTTAGATTAAAGCTGATAAACTCATGAGTTTTGGGGGTTTTTTGTTTGTTTGTTTTTAAGATAAAATTATTTGACCACCATGAGCTGGAGTTTTTTGACCCGTCTGTTAGAGGAGATCCACAATCACTCAACCTTTGTTGGCAAAATCTGGCTGACGGTGCTGATTGTATTTCGGATTGTCCTAACTGCTGTGGGAGGAGAATCCATTTATTATGATGAACAAAGCAAGTTTGTGTGCAACACGGAGCAGCCTGGCTGTGAGAATGTTTGTTACGATGCTTTTGCTCCTCTTTCACATGTGAGATTTTGGGTGTTTCAGATCATTCTTGTAGCCACTCCATCTGTGATGTATTTAGGCTACGCAATTCATAAAATTGCCCGGATGGTAGAACACAGTGAAGCTGACAGAAGAATCAGAAGTAAAAGTTTTTCAATGCGCTGGAAACAACACCGTGGCTTAGAGGAAACCGAGGAGGATCATGAGGAAGACCCAATGATGTACCCAGAAATAGAGCTGGAAAGCGAGCGGGAGAACAAAGAGCAGCAGGCCCCTGCCAAAGCTAAGCATGATGGCAGGCGGCGAATTCGGGAAGATGGACTCATGAAAATTTACGTGCTGCAGCTTCTTGCAAGGACTACGTTTGAAATCGGTTTTCTTGTGGGTCAGTATTTTTTGTATGGTTTTGAGGTCAGCTCCATATTTGTGTGTAGTCGAAAGCCATGCCCGCACAAGATAGATTGTTTTATTTCAAGGCCAACTGAAAAGACCATTTTTCTACTAATAATGTATGGTGTGAGCTGTATGTGTTTACTTTTGAATGTTTGGGAGATGCTTCATTTGGGATTTGGCACAATCCGGGACACGTTAAACCACAAAAGAAAAGAGCTGGAAGACTCTGGTACCTATAACTACCCTTTTACTTGGAATACACCATCTGCTCCTCCTGGCTATAACATTGCAGTGAAGCCAGATCAAATCCAGTATACTGAACTGTCCAATGCCAAAATGGCCTACAAGCAGAACAAAGCCAATATAGCTCAGGAACAGCAGTATGGAAGCAATGAAGAGAACATTCCAGCTGACCTTGAAAATCTGCAGAGGGAAATTAAAGTGGCTCAGGAACGCCTGGACCTTGCAATCCAGGCTTATAACAACCAAAACAATCCCAGCAGTTCCAGAGAGAAGAAATCCAAAGCAGGCTCAAACAAAAGCAGTGCCAGTAGCAAATCAGGAGATGGGAAGAACTCTGTCTGGATTTAATGTTGGTTGAGTTTATATATTGTGTTTTTCTCCTAGTTTATCATAACCAGCAACTCCTTGAATAATTGCTTCCATTAAGTAAATATTTGGCTCTGCTTATTTTCAGGGATACCGTTGGCTAGTGATCCAGGCTTTCAGAAAGTGTTTATACACATATTCTAGGATTATAGAACTTTATTCTTCTGTCTTCCAAGCCAGGAGACAAATAGGTATATTTAAATCATTCTCATTGAACGGTTTATGCTGTATGTACAGTATTATAGTACATTTATTATGCACAATTTTTTGTATATGTACACTGGATCTCTGAAGTTACACTTTTTTATATTAATGAAGAGAGAACAGTAGGTAGCTGTTAGTATTTTGCTAGTTTTAATACTGTGGTCTGCAGGTTCATTGTTGGGTTTTTTGTTTGTTTTAAATGTAAAACTTTCTATGCTGCATTTCAAAAGTGCCTTGAACACACCACAGAAGATTCTTTGGTTATCCAGGCAGCCCACGGGCGCCAGTCACTTAGCAGCAGAGCGGTGAAAGATTTGGAGAACATCTGTTAATGGTGCTGCTGACTGTACTTTTACAAAAATGATGTTCTACTTAAAAATAGAAGAGTCATACTATGGTTAGTATGTGCTACAGTTTTTTTACCCTATGGAAAATTACTTATGGAAGAATGCATATGTGTTAGAATACTTATGTTCCGAGTAAGAGTGCTGCCATAATGCAGACTGGGGCCAGACCTCCCTGCAAGCTTTATTCAACAGGAGGGAAGAGAAACTTTGTCTCCTGTAAAGCATTCAAAAAAAGTAAACAGAAACTTACTGTGTTCAGTAATTCCATGTATTTATGTAATATCTATGGAAAGAAATGTTTTTGAGGTCTGTTATTATATAACACCCCACCCCTGAGGGCATTGAATTGTTGCAGTACCTTTTGGATAACAGATTTCTGTCTTTCTGAAGCAATCTGGTTAGATAGAGTCATGGTAATTTTTTCCCCATGCATTACATTCAAGGAGTAACCTTCCTTCCCCCCACCCAGCACACGCACATGCTGTCTACAAGAGTTTTTACAAAGCAGTTTCGGAATATAAAAGATAATGCCTTATTCCAAACCCTCTTCCTTCCATTGTGTCCAAGGAATTAAGTTCAGACAGAGCAATGTGTATAACTTAGATTTCTGCTTGAGAGACCAGTCAGATTGGGCATTCTGTGGTTTTGGCATTAAACTTGAATTTATAATTAGAAAAAGGAGAATGCGGTATTTACTGCCTTTGGTGGTGTCTTTTTGGCAAGGATGAGCATTAACGTTTGAGAGATGCTGTTAAATCTGTATGCTTTTTGCCACTATTTATAATGTATTCAGGACCTTGCTCTGTTTTCTCTTTTGTCAGGTTTTAGCCTATTTAATATTGGGAGGGAGTGGAGCTGCTCTGTTTCGAGGCTACCTCAATCTTTACTGCCCTCATTACAGTCTGATCAGGAGCAGGATTGAGAAGTAAGGCTACATAGAGAGCGTATGTAAACCCATACTCCATTCCTGTTCTGCAGAGCATGTAAGTGTAGACTTTACGTGAAATTTCAAGTAAGGGGATATGAGTTATGCTATGGTAACTGCAAGCACGTGCTCATATCCCTTTACTTTACCCAAGCGCTTGCTGAAAGCAGGTGTTTTGCTGAATTATTGTCATGGTCTGTTTTCACTTTGGGACCCCAAACAGTGAGTGTCCAGGTGTAGATCCCAGCTATCAGCTCCGTTTCAGAGAGAGACGTAAATGTACCTGAAGCCACTGCAGCCCTTTGTGCAAGGTCAGTGAGAGTCAGCTTCTCCAGTTCACCTTCGACAGAGATCTGTTTTGTGTTTTGGAAGCAAACTTGCATTTTGTTCTAACGGTACATTCTGCCCTCTATTCTGGAAAAGGAGCAACCTCACAATTTTACACATGAAAGTTGTGGAGTGGTCTTTTTGTCTAAATGATAAACAAACTAAGCAGATAGCTGTCTCGGAAAGCTTAAGTGGACTTCTAGGCTGAGACAGCTAACCAGTTGGGATGAACTTTGTGGGATGAGAGAGTTTATTGGTGCTCCTTTAGTTAAACAGGAGTCTGAAGAGAAGCACACCGCTTGAAGACAGGCAGAGAGGCTTCGCAGGTGGAAAAATCCAAGTGTGAGGGAGAAGCTGGGTGAAAAACATGTTGTCTGAAAGTACCAGAGGAAGACATTTGGAGCCTGGAGATAAACACGGATGCATGGCTACTCATTATCCCCAAATGCTGTGGCTCAGTTGTTCTTTCCAGCCTCCCAAAATGGTTATGTTGCTTTTAACCCCATGTGGTGATTTTGAATGCCCTTTAATCAGCTGAACTGCAAGAAATTAAAATTCTTCTCCCCTTGCTGCTCTCTTCACAAACTATCTCAGTGCAGCAGTTTCTTGTTAATAGCTTAAGCTACCTTTGCAATCAGTTTGTGACAGCTGCTTCACCTGTTATTTGTATTAGCCCTTTCCTGATTAATGATCTAAACCATTACCTGCAGAAAACTGCCTCAGGTCAGCCCTGTGAGCTTTTGTCCAAACCGGTAAATAATTCCATTAATGACCAGAGTATGTAGAATATTCCTCTCCCAGCACTGAATTCATTCCGAAAAAGCAAAGTAATGAAACTGTTTTTATTACTATTTTGTTTTCATTTTAATTGTATAAAAGGTGCACATTTTCTTTGAAACTGAGTGTTTGTTATTAGTAGAGGATGTCTGTTAAACTCTAAATGTTCATGCCTGTGATTGTATTCAGTTCCAAAGTATTGGGCTTGACTTTTCCCTTCGGAAGAAACGATACAGGCGTTACTTTAAGATGCTCTCCTGCTTTGGCTTAAATTTAGGCCATTTGGAAATAAACATTCAGAACAAACTTTTAAAAAATATTGAACGTAACTTGTATTTGTGTTGTCATTCTCTGGTTTTGGATGCAGTTTGGAAGAATGTCTATTAAATCCAATGAATTTCTGAAAAATCCACTCCGAATGAGATGGCTTTTTTTTTTTCCAGCAATAGACTATGCTCTGAATATGTGAGTGAGAGAGAGGGATATTCTAATGATTTGTCTTAAACAACAACTTGGAATTTTTATATATTTGACCTTGTTTACTATAATAAAGTTAGTCACAAATCAACTGTGCGGTTTTTCATGTGAATTGTTCTTCAGTGACAAGAACAATTCCATTAAAAAAGAAAAATCCAAACTTTGGAAGTCAGACCTTGAAAAGGGTACCACTTATGAAAACATTTTATCACTGAAATCTGCATTTATGCATATGAATGAGCATGCTGATATTGTCCAGTGAACTGTGCAGCATTAGCTGGCCTAATTTAGCTGCGATTTTCAAAGGAACATAAGGGAGTTGGCTGCCCAGCTCCTTTTAAAAATTGCAGCTGAATGCTTGTCTGTTTTGCAGTCACAAAAGACAGCTTTTGTAACTGTCCCATGCTTTCCCCTCATTTAAAATTTTGCTTCAAAAATGGAAGTATATATAAGAAAGTATTATCTAGTTTGCCATGTCATGTAGCTATGAGAAAGCCAAAAGTGAAATGGGTTTGGTGGTAAGAAGTTAGAATAAAAGGCTGTTTGTCCTTAGAAGTGTCTATATAGGCTTCTTCTTTCTGCCTCAGAATTGGAGAAAAACCCAATGCTATAGGCAAGGACTGTATT